ATGCAACTATAGTCAGGCACCGATCCTCTACGGTCGACTCTTCAGTCGACCTAGGATTTCCATGTTGCCCTTTGGAGGCAACAGGTTTATTACTTCTAAGATGCTACCCGCTAGGCATGCATCCATGTCCCGGTCCACTCAACTTCTTCGAGTGGTGGACCTTCGGCGCAGCCTGTACTTCTGTACAGCCGCCGGGAGCTTGATCCACAGTGTAGTGATCAACTACGCTGTGATCTTGTGCAGTCGTGCTAACGACCGTACCGCAAGTGAGGCCATCGCACTCACTCGCAGAACACCCACACGCTTGTGAACGCTCCAAGATGTTCAGCAGATGGCCATCTGATGAACAAGCGGCAGGCATCTTCACGGATCGATGCTGCCAGCTCACCCTTGGCTCGTACCTTCTGAGCCAAGGTAATCCCAGGATGACATCAAATTTGTCATCCAGATCCAGTACGATGAAGTCATCATAGTACTGTTCGCCCTCCAACGTGTAGTGGATTCCTACTACACGTTTCTCAATGATTATCGATGCGCCTGTTGCAAGGCGCACCGTCATCCTCGTGAGGGGAATGTCGCGCTCAACGAACTTGAGCCTACGACCCTCTAGTGACTGGCGACGAACAAAGTTGTTCGACGCCCCACAGTCTACTAGGGCACGAAGCGACAAATCATTTGTCGCTTCCAACTGCAAGGTGATGAGCGAAACGTCATCACCAGGTGCAGAGAGACACAATGATTGTGTATCTGGAGCAACTTTCGTCAAGAGATTTGCAAATTCTCTTGAGGTTGCTGGATCAGTAGGGCGCTCCGCCCCTACTGACCCCGACCATTTTTTAATGGTCCGTCTCGCTGCTGCGGCTTCGCAACAGCTTGGACTCACGCTCATTGCCCTTCTTGGCGAATGGTCGTCCATTTCGCTCAGTACTGTTTGGTACTGGGCGTGGAGCACTACACTCGTATGCGCAGTGCCCTAGCTTCTGACAGCGATTGCACCTCTACAATCGCTTGTTGTTTGAAGAGCGAGGTCTCTCGCTCTCAACATAGCAGAGTTCCATTGGTTCTGGACCTCCGATCTCTTGTCGTCTCGGTGGACGGTAAGAGTTTGAGCTAGCATGAGCCTGTCTCATGCTAAAGTCTTCCTGTTCCGCGACTGATATCGCATCTTCAAGCGTATTCATCTCAAGGCGGAACAGGTGGCTCCTGACGGGCCCGTCTGCGATCCATTGCATGAACACCGTAATCATCGTGTGTTCATGAACTGGGTTAGCAGTTATACTACTCGCAAGGAGTCGCATATGTTGGGCGTAAGCTTGAACATCTCGCTTACCATGCTTGAGTTTCAGGAGCTCTGAACGAGCCCTGAACTCAGCCCGTGGCGGCTCAAACATTTGTATGAGCCGGGACTTGAAGTCATCTAGCAACCTAAACACATTTGGGTCGCTACTCTCGAGCCCCAGGGACCAAGTTTTGGCACGTCCTGCCAAGTGCGTTTGAGCAAATGTGAGTTTCATTTGCTCATCTTCGACACGGCGTGCTTTCAAATCTCTTTCGATTTCGACGAACCACAATAACAGGGAGTCTTCGGGACTCCACTGTACTTGGAGATGTCAACCTTCATGACCTCGGGACAAATGTGTCGTCCCGCCCACAGCAGCATGGAATTGCTGCTGTCTCCACAGCTCTGTCTGTTGAGCACCGAGCTCTCTCAACCGCTCGGCCTGTTGAGAGCCTTGCTGGTGAAGCAGGGCTACTTTTTACCTTTCGGCGACAAGTTCTTGTTGAATGAACTTGGCTATAGCGGCATGATGTTGGTCTCTGTCTAGAGACTCCAACATGGCGCTAATGGCGAACTCGCCTACGGTGGAACTCATTCGTTCTACCGCACTCCATTCGATGTCACTCACATTGGTAAACCCTTCACGCGTGGCGTGAAAGGCGTCTTCATCATCCAACATGTTCATGTTGGATGTTGTGGTCCTTGGAAGGACTACAAAGTGCTACCAGGTGTATCGGGGCACACCCTTGCGTGAACTCAACGCAAGGGTTTCGTGCACCGACAAGCGTACACGAGGCAATCGAGGAAGCGGTAGGTAAATCATAGGCAACACTGTCTTTGGGAAAAGTAGAACTGGTATATTAATATAATTAAGTGTTTGACCACTGTATCTCTGTTTTACTTAACTTAATTATGCTGATATAACTGAGTGAATGGTGACGTCTCGTCACCACTCATTGCGCGCGTCTTGCGGCGATTGGTGGGTTGATATCGTCAAGATATCAACCAATGAACAAACGCTTTGGTCGACCCTTCAATATCATCACTTCGGTGATATTGTTTATAGAATATTCACTTAATATTCTTCATTGTCGCTTTCTTCAAAGTGACATTTCCATGTAACGGGCTGCCCCGTTACACTTGGGATGTAGCCATTAGTGACTACTAGGGCACATGTGAAATTGAAGTTGCGACCCAGGCCTACAGATTTATTTCACAGCAATCATGGCTATACGCAGAAATGTCTCCACTGTCGTCGCGGTTATTGCTCGATACCCATTTACCTTCAATATTGCTTGCGCCATCAGGCAGTTGCATAGATTATCAAGTTAAATAAGGGTTTCTAGGGCCTTTACCTCATCATATACAGCAAGCTCATTAGCCACTCCGTATTTACCCCGACTGTATGGGAATTGGCAGTCGCAAACTATTGAACAGTACGAAGCAAATTCTGACTGATAGCAGCGATGTTCGATGACCTATCACCTCGCAATCACAGTTCAAAAGAAGGCTGAATACTAAGTCAATGACTAGTGGTAAAAGTAAATTGTATTATATATGTGAGCATGTCCTCCAATCTCTGCCCTATCAATTAGCCCAAACTTAATTGTATCAATAGAAAAACATGTATTGCGACGTCTACTCACCACCCATTGCGCGCGTTGAGCATTGATGGTTGTGCTGATGTCATTCCACATTTTAACATAACGAGTAGGCCCTTAGTTCACTGTAAAAATATCACTGTGTCTTGTGATATTTTAAGAGGGACGATGAAGGTAATGTTCCTTCTTATCATCACATCCCACATATGATAACATTTGGAAGCAGGTCCACCCCGTCTAAATATGACTAATTCAAGCAGGGATGCTTGTTATTCGCTCTGTTTGTAATCTGAGAGAAGATACGATATGTATATAGGGCAAGGGTGACTACCTAAGAACCAACATACAGACATATTGTTCGTTCGGACTAGTATAGCGGGTCGTGGCACTAGCGGAAATAGATGTTGTATCCTTCCGCGACCTTTCGCTCTTTCGCTGACGTGTATATCACAAACGTATCATACTGCTCACGATCTGTATTTCTTGGCAAAACCCGACTCATGCGTGATAACTATAAGGGGGTAGTACAACGCACCAAGTAATTAAGAAAACAAAATTTAGGTTGTACAAGATAAAAATATGATTCTCTTCTTAAACGCACTCTACGACCAAAATTCACACCCCTCTGACCAGTCATGTTCCTAGAAGCATATCGTCTTCATTCCCTCTCATCATTTGTCTAATATGTATCTTATCATCTCGATATGTCAATAGACGACGTTAACACAAATAGAAATGTGGGCTGACGCACCAAACGAGATATGAGGGTATCGTTATCCGCTTCATTATGTATTCTGTCATAACCAATATCATTTTAGACAAATGAGAATAGGCAGCGCCAAATTAATTTGGCATATACTAAATAATGCACACGATAGTACAGTCACGACTTGAGACGGCATGATGAGATGGATCGACAGACAGCATCAGAGGAGACAAAATAGTGAAGAGCTGACATAATTCTTTGGTGTTTTTGCAGGTGGCCACATAAATTTTTGCGGACACAAAAGGTGAGCTGCTAACCAACAAAACATGCAACGCTGATAATAGGACATAGTCACCACGAGAAATGCTGGTGGTGGTAGCCATGCACGTGATGTTGTAGTGAATTCACTTGAATCGCACCAAATCAATCAAAACTTGTCATTCATTTTACGCTTGCAAAGCCGACCTACAACATTTCTTTCAATCATCAGGTTTGCAAAATGCTTTGGGGCCGTTGGTGCAGCACAACATTAGCGTCGTCCTGTCTGCGCTCCGTGTACCACTTTCCCAACTTGTCACCATTTTCGTACTATCGTGACCAACTGGTACTAATTGTCTTAACCATCAGCTATCATCATATTTGACATACAAGCGACTGTCGTTTATCGAATACTGAATCATCAGATGATGATTTAAAAATTGTAGTGTGGATGCTATGTAAATCGATGCGGTCTCGAAATCTCCGGTGGTCAACATAATGCACATAAGCATTGGGGCTAGTCCCTCTCGGTCTACGTCTACATCGAGCACGTAGCTAACCGAATCAGCGTTTTTCCTAAAGCTACATGAGACGTTGTCGCTATACTGCCATCACATTATTTATATGCTCGTGTCCTGCAGTTTTTTACGCGTGGCATAGGTGGTGGCGAGTCAGCAGCTTCCATGTTGGTAGTCGATTGCAAATCGAGACAAAAGTCTGACGCCTCATTCTCAAATCGCCGGGATAGCTTTTTTCATTCAGCTATGCACGACAATTCACGGATAAACGAAAAATGTCGATATGTCCCTCAGATCTCTCGCAGATGCATGTTCGGTCGTACAGAATACATCAGTGGTTGCATTATTCATTAGTTAAATATTTGGTGCATTTGTTTCGCCCTTTATCATTTTGCAATGCACCTTTTAATATCTGGTGCTCTTTTTTCGTTCGAATTTACAATCCCGAGCGCCGTGTCTTGCTTGATTTCACAAGTTTAGGATGCACCGTTAGATGCGATTGATATAGAATCTTTTATATTTCTATTTCTAAACAGTCAGTATCTGACGTCAAGTCGTTTTCCCAACAAAAGTATCTTTATCCACCCAACGAAGTAGTGACCTTCGCCTCTCGTTGCGTAATTCGACTCCGCATCAACATGTACGGCTCCACGACGGACGCCTCGTCACTGCCTGATGTATCCCAGCAAGATACACACGCCGACGTCGAGGCCCTGCGCGCCAGTTTTGCGACAGGTGCTACGAAAGACGTGGGGACACGCCTAACGCTGCTTAGAGCGCTGCAGCGTCTCGTCAACGAAAACGAAGCTATCCTGAATGAGGCCGTGTGGAAAGATTTACACAAACATCCGATGGAGTTTCTCGTCACGGAAGTGTCGTTGCTTAAGTGCGAAATCCAGGATTTTATCGATTATGTCAGCGATTGGGCCCAGCCCAAAGTCAAAATGACCAATATCGTGAACCTCCCAGGTCTGTCGTACGTCCGACCTGAACCGCTCGGTGTCGTGTGTATCATAGGTACATGGAACTACCCAATCAATTTGCTGCTCATGCCGTTGGTCGCAGCTGTGGGTGCCGGAAACTGTGCGCTCGTACGACTGCCTGGAGATGACACGACGCGGCACGTGAACAACGTCTTGTTGAAGCTATTCGACAAGTACATGGACAAACGCTACGTACGCGTGGTGTACGGGGGTGTCAATGAGACTAAAGCCATGCTGCAAGAACAGTTCGACCTCATCTTTGCTACCGGTGGCACTTTTTTGGGCAAAATTGTAGCCCAAGCCGCGGCGCAGCACTTGACACCGACGGTGTTGGAGCTCGGAGGCAAGTCACCGTGTATTGTTGATAGCACAGCTGATTTAAAGCTGGCTGCCCGACGCATTGCATGGGGAGCGTTTTTGAACGCTGGGCAAACTTGTGTTCGTCCAGATTATCTGCTTGTGGACGCAAATGTAGGAGATCAGCTCGTTCGGCTACTACAAGAGGAAATAGTGGCCCAGTTTGGCAGCGGCAACGTGCAGATGTCGGAAAGTTATGGTCGTGTGGTCAACCAACGCTCGTTTGATCGTATAGCACGTATCCTGGGAAAAGACCGCGAGCATGTGACATTCGGTGGGGAGGTCGACGAAAAGGAGCGCTTTATCTCACCGACGCTGTTGAATTTCCGCACGGATCGCAGCTCCTTTGTGTCAAGTGCTTCGATGGGCGAAGAAATATTCGGCCCCCTGCTGCCGATCTATTACTACTCCACTGGTAATTTCGATGACCCCATTGACTTCATTACTGACCGAAACAAACCACTTGCGCTCTATCACTTCAGCTCCGACAGGAAGATGAAGGAGCGTGTGGTGAATGAAACGTCGGCCGGCAGCATGGTCGTAAATGACGTCATGATGCAGCTCGCAAACGCTAACGTTCCTTTTGGTGGTGTGGGCGGCTCAGGCATGGGTGCTTATCACGGCCACTACGGTTTTGAGGCCTTTTCACACTACAAGACAATTCTATACAAGAATGGTCTGCTGGATCTTCCGCAGCGCTACCCACCCTACACACCGGCAAAGAAGCGTATTCTCAGCATCATGATGTACCCGTTTACCCGATTCCAGATGCGTTTGTTGAAAACGCTTGGCTTCGCCATGGTACTTGCCATTGTCGCGATCACTGTCAACTGCTTCGTCTAATTACGAAGCATCATCAATCGCGGCGCGATGCCCGCGATGCAAGTCTGGTATCTTGCGTCAGGGACTACAAGCATTGGATGTGTGCTTTCATGGGACAATCAAGTTGGTGGTATCCAGTTAGTCAAAAATCCACTTGCAGCCTGATCTTTGTGGGCCATTGCTTATGCTTCTGAATGAAACTTTGACCCTCGTACTCGTCTTCATTACGTATCGTACATCCTTGAGGTCCTAACAATTCGCATTTACTATTTCCTACAGCTGAAGATGCTCCTATTGTTTCCGATCTGTGCTTCCGCTCCCTCTCTCTACCATTTAGCAATCGATCCTTTGTAAAGAAAAACTTGATATGCTTGTCGACCATAGATATTCGTTGCCGATGTGAAGCACCACCATGCGATCATGCGCCTGTTTCAATAACACTGTAAGCGATACTACTTGGTCGAGTGTCTTGCGATGGTCATCCAGTCCAACGTAAAATTGGAGGATCCCGCCCGCTTATCGTGATCAGCACTTGCTCTATCTCGATGTTGATGTGACGTGGCTAGTATGTTAGTTTATCCCTGTATCAACTGGACCAGTAAACGACTACCACTCGAAGTACAGCTGTCGCTGTAGGGTCCTGGTGTATACTAGCACATTACCGCCTAAAACGGCGGTAACGTATCACCTATCTGTCCAAGCCATGCCTTATATAGTGCACCCCTGATGACAACCTGAGTCAATCGCTGGAAGGCGAAGTTTGTTTGGACATCCTCTGAAATAGCTGCAAAACATCATGGCATGACACGGCTGTAAATGAGGAATGCCATTCATCGTTAACGATGAAATGATCGTGCTCCATTGTTGCTGTCTGGACGAGGTGTGAAGCCAATTGATGCTCAGAAATTATCTAGACAGCAAGATCTGGGGCAGACTTCGAACGATTTTGCGATTCGTTGAGTCGTCAGAATTAGTCGTCATGTATTGTCAATTGTTGTACGGGACGGAAGCAAGATCACGATTTGACCAAACATAAATCAATCCTTATGTACAGACGGCCACCCCAGTCTCGATGGAACGATCAGACGTGTTTCGAATGTGGTACCTTGGCTGGTCGTGTCGTGCACTGACAGACGCCTCACTTCATAATAAATTGGACAGTTGACGCAAGTAAAGTCAACTGAAGCTTCGGATTGAATGCGATATTGATAGTTATAAACGTGTTTTTTGCAATGATTGTAACTGGAATTATCCACTTACATGTATGTTATTGACGTGGCGAATAAGCCTTTTGTGACGAAAGAGTGTTGGCTGAAGAGGACTGTTTGTAACGCTTGATAAGCATTAGATCTCTACATGCAGTTTTCAGGCCATGTTCACCAATTTTCACATCACTAAGGCCAAAGTAATCGACTTATATATATCGAACGCACGTGTCCAGTCAAATGCGCAGCATAGCGGCGTTTGCTTTGTCATTGACTAACGCTACCAATGGCATGTAGTGTTTTGTGCTCTGTCGAGTACTAAGACGTAAATGTTGAGTGAATGAGATCATGTAATCCGTGAAGAAGCGAGTATTGTGCGAGACAGTACATCAAGCCCGTACGACCCTATACGCAGACGCAGAAATCGTATCGATAGAACGAGCGGAAGAAGAAGAAGCTAACTTTAATTACTTTCGAAAAATAACAAAGACTGGGAGGTAGTAGCAGCTCCAATCGTATAACATGCAGTACCCTTTCTGGCTTGAACATGGCAACATTTGTGTTGTCATGTATCGCATATTATTTTGGTTGCCTATAAGCTTCATGTTTCAGGCGACTAGCAAGGCTGCTTCGTAATGCGCTGCATGAGGAGGGAAGTGAACAGCGTCGTCATTTCAATCTTAGCCTGTCAAGTCGACGCGTAATTCGATAACCTCGTAAGTGGTGAGCATTAGTGCTACCTATCAAGAAGACATCGGTTGATCCCCGCTTTGGTCGTCGCGCGACACAAATATACTATGTGAAACTTTTGAAAAGAAAATACTTTCAGATTGTCCTATTGGCCAACAATGACATCATCTTCTCAAAAGCTATTCGTCTTATCTTTTGCATCGCTTAGGTCGAGATCTCTTAATCAATTATAATATCGCATACGAGTAGAATAAATGGAGCTACATTGTCAAGTCTATCAGACCTGTCCAGCATCGCTAACCTCCTGCACTTGCATAACTTCAGGCCATCGGGCACCGGATCGACCAAGCCCCCTTCCAGCACAACTCGCACCTACCCTACCCTCATTTGGTTCTGCACTTGATCCTATGTTCGGTGGCATCGAGGGGTAAAAGAATGCGCTTCGAACTTTAATGTACCGTGGAATTCGAATTGTTGGGGACAAGCTTCGAGCTTGGTGATGCGGTGTCGATTGCGAGGGTGTTTTGGGTATACATGTGCTGTCAACAGCATAAATTGGATTCGAACGTGCATGTGAGCCCACCATCCCAATACTGCCAGGTTAACGAAGTACACGTCACCTGATTTCATATATATATATAATGTCGAGCATCTACAGACAAAGACCACGCAGAATTGAAGGCTACATTTGCGTTGATACTAGTTTGCGCTCTGCTGCTACCTTAGATACGGAATACGTCATTTGCGCTATGTGTTAGACGCAAGACAACTTTGATATGGACCAGAGCGTTCCACGGTGAACACTGGTTCCGTTTTTTCGTCTCGCCATCTGGCAGATATAATTCTTTGGCGCTTAAACGACTTCTCTGTCAGGCGCAGATTAGCGATGTTATTAAAATGGCGTGGAGCTAGCAGGGGAAGTCAGAGTCATCCCAGATTTTCATATTGCGGCGAACACTTATTTCTACAATTTGCACGGCGGTGTATTAGATACTTCACGCCTTGATCGGTGGAATGTAAGTTCTCGACGTGCTGATTTGGTTAGGGACATTCCTCTGATAGTACCTGGTCCAGCAGTGAGCACAATGGGATAAGTATCAGGATAGTAGAGCCCCGAAATGTAGTGCGGGTTCGAACATCAAGGCGTGTATATAATCTTTCAGGCTGTGCGCAAGAGAACGCGAATAGCGAATTATTTCGGTCATTGCAACGGCACACTTTGAAGGTGGCGAAACTATCTGTACTTCGACGTCGGACTATGTTACAGCATTTATCTTGGCCGACCGGTGGTATAAATGTAAAATCGATCTCCGCGAGGTTCTTTTGGCGACGACTATACCGCGCTCCGAGGGCTGACATTCAGCCATAGACAGCGGATGAGTCGTGCATATATGTTTGACTGGAGGCAGCTTTATTGGTTGCGCGTACGCCTGGTCCCTCACCACCGAGGGATGAAGAGCGAGGCAATAAACCTGGTCTTACCGATTTATCAGCGGAAATTCGGCGTAAAGTTGAGGAGTGACGGCGATTATGGCAGAGAGCCAAGAAAGAGCGTCTCCTCGTTCAGCACACTTAATATCAGGACGCGACGTCCCGACGTTTCTACGCTCGAGTGTCGACAAAAATTTGAGACAATTCCATTGTATCCCTGGGTGCAAATGCTTCGTACGGGCCAGCTCGGTCTCAGACATTGTCTGATGACATGGCCGACGGTCGGGAGCTTATTTTGAATTTTTCTTTTGATATCATCGACGCAATTACAGCGTTTTTTTTTCAGGTTCACCCCTCTCGACTGAGATGACGATTCAACTGTGACTTCAGACATTTCTCAAGGCGATGTGAGAGCGACCTTGAAGAGGCTTAAGCGTCGGAAATTCGCAGAGCCTGATAAATTATACAACACTTTCTACAGAGATTATGTGGACGCGCTCGCGCCTGTATTCGCTGCTTTGTGCACCAGATGGCTCAAATGGAGCAAGTCACCGGCGTCATTTGGTGAAGCGAATATTCAGTATATGATGCAATTTGCGGCCGCCGCCTTGCCGCTTGATCATCGCCGGATCACTCTGTTCAACAGCGACTACAAGTATTTACCAAAATTCTCTCGTGGCGGGTGCGGCCGATTCTGTCGCATCTTGTATAGCAAACCGCATCTTACCATAGGGTGAAATTGAAGACTGGAAACTACTGGAGTGGGAAAGGAAGACGAAGCGACAGGACGAACATATTTAAGAGGAATTAAGTGCGACATGACGAATATCTATAACGTACGTAGCATAGCAAGAACCAGATCTGTATAGCTGAATACTGATCCCGTCAGTTCGAAAGTTACTCAATGGAAAACAAATTGTTTGTGAGTGTTGTCGTGGTGCAATATTTTCTGCTATCTTGTTCTGCTGGGTCATTTTTTTGTCTCGCAGCGATAGATCCTTACAAATATGATGTTTTCACGACGGTACGCAAAACAATCACCCTTTACAACAATCTACATGGAACCATTATTCTATTTCTCAATTTTTACAAGGCATACGACAACGCCCATTTCTACTTTCGGCGACTTCGTGGCTTGGGTTTTCGCCCCACTTCGTCTTAGTCGTAGCGGCCTTACATCACGACACGATGTGTCGATTTCTTGTTGATGTATGTCGCTCGGGATGGCGTGAGGTGAATTAAATAATTAGGCAGGGATGCTTTCGACATTACTTCTCTTAATTCTCGCCATTGACAATATCTATCGTGTGGAGATTTAGGGATATAAGAATTTCTTGGAATACCTACCACATCTTGATGGTGTACTACTAATTCTTAAAGTTCTATGGCTACGTGAACGCTCGCGATCGGTCTGCGGTCACGCGAGCTGTTACGGTATTCGAAGATTTCGCTCAGGTGTCGGGTCTCGGACAAATCGATCGAAATAAATGGTCATTGAGCTGAACCCTCGAGGATCTGCTCTGCCACTTGACGCAGGTGATCTCACTGTGCAGTTTCCCAGCGACTCTTGCGGGTATCTTGGTGTTTTAGTGGGGCAACAGGACGCGGTGGAAGAAACCTGGAAAAATGCATCCGTCAGGTCTGGGTAATTCTCGACATAGCCTAATAGAAGACTTACAACTTGAAACAACGTGC